ACTTCACTAAGGATTTGGCCTCCAGTTCCATCCATGTTGCTGCAAAAGACATAATTGCATTCTTTTTAATGGCTGATAGTACTCCATGGTACACATCACCCACTGATGGACACTTAGGTTGATTCCATGACTTTGCTATTATGAATAGTGCTGCCATAAATATGAGTGCAAGGGTCTTTTTATATAGTAATTTCTTTTCCTTTGGGTAGATACCTAGTAGTGGGATTGCTAGATTAAAGGGCAGTTCTATTTTTGGTTCTTTGAAAGATCTCCATACTGTTTCTCATAGAGGCTGTATTAATCTACATTCCCCCCAATAGTGTATACGCTTTCAAGAAAGACATTTCTAAAGAGACCAATTGAGAAGTCAAACAGAGGAGAGTGGAAATGCATTGAGCAGCATGGTAATATGCGTGCTATTGTGAATCTGTACCCCAGATTTTATGCACTGGAAACTTAATCCCCAAATATGTATGTTGATTTGAGGTGGGACTTTTGAGAGGTAATTAGTATTAGATAAGGTAATCAAGCTAGGGCCACCACTGTCATGAGACTTGTGGCTTTATAAAAAGAAGAGCGGCTGAGCTGATACGCACACTCTGGCCCTCTTGCTGTGTGATGTCCTCCACCGTGTTGTGATGCAGCAAGAAAACCTTCACCAGATATTGGTGCCATGTTCTTGGACTTCCCAGCCTCCAGAAATGTAAGAAATTTCTTTTCTTTACAAATTATGTAGTCTGTGGCGTTCTGTTACAACAATAGAAAATGGACTAAGTCTCTCAGAGGAGATCTAGAGAAGAAGATGGAATTGAGGCATCTGGCTAGTTTTGCAGCATGTGCTGTTTCTGAAGAAGTGATTAGCACTTCTTTTTCTTCTCTAGGGACAAATAAGGGGAGAACATGGTTAACATCAGTGAGAGGATCTGAGGCCACAATACCCTATTAAATGGAGCAGTGAGGCCCTGCGACATCATTCCTGACAGATGATAGGAGAGGCTCACAGCTCTCTGCCTGGGACAAGCTACACGGTGGCAGGGGCTTACGACAAACAACTGCATTGAGTCTCTCCCACAGGCAATTACTGTCTGTCCTCCAGTCCTCCTGACTATAACAGGTCAGGAAATATCACCCCTGTGTAAACAAAACTCACATCTCCAAAGCAGGAGCAAAGAAGGTTTTCGGAATGAGACTCTGGGGGACGGAAACCAGGCAGGTCTTGACAGTTTCCTTGTGTTTGTCTCCCCGTCATGATTCTTATTATCATAACACCTGATATGTGCAGAGCGACTTCTCTCCCTCTGTTCTCTGGGCTGAATGTAGAAAAAACATAGTATTATCCACTTTCCTCCCTAACTAGAACTAAAATTGCCAGATTAAAAAGTACAACAAAAACAAAACACAAAATGCAAAAACAAGCAACCAAAGAGCCTCCCAAAATAACTATGTAAAACAAAGAAATATGATCTGAATATAAAACATACTGAACTTTGGAAGTACCCACTTTGGGCTATGCAGAAGCAATCTGCTTTTATTCTATGCCTTCTGCCAGCTCTGCCCTTGTCCAATAACAGGTATTTGTGGAGTACTTATTATGTGCCAGGACTAGGCTAATTTCTTCAAATGGATTGTCTTCTCATTTAGTTTCCACACCATTTTCATGAAGTGCTTGCTCCTATTAATAATATCCCCTCCCAAATGTTTCTGTAGGTAAAGCCACTGAGGCTTGGAGAGGTTACATGAGTCACTTGCAGAGCTGGGAAGCTGGTGGACACCAGACTCAACTATGCCAGATGGCCTCAGATTTGTCTTTCAGCCACTGCAGGGCCTGCTCTGTAGCCCCTCAGATATGTGCTTCACACTCACCACAAGGTCTCCATGCTACCCTATCCTGTCTCGCCTTTATTTGATGAGCTATAGACTTTACATCTCTCTTGAAATCAAATCCACAGAATTAAATCCTGTTCTCCAGCCGAGGTCTACCCTGTGCCTAGGATGGAATAAAGGGGAAGTCTATTACTTTATTTGTGATGAACGTAAATTTTATATAAATGCAACAAAACTTTTATACTTTAAAAAAAAGTTTAAGTCCTGGGATACATGTGCAGAATGTGGAGGTTAGTTACATAGGTATACATGTGCCGTGGTGGTTTGTTGCATTTTGTACGTTTATTTTTTTTCTGTTAATTCAGTGTTCTACATCCTCAACTTGTATCACAGACTTGCTTTTAAACCTAAGTGAACATTTTTATATTTATTCTTGTTAAGTTTTATCTTGTTTTGGCCCATGCTTGTAGCATGTTAGATTTCTACCATTGTCTTTTGATCCAGCATATTAGTTTTTGCATTCAACTTTCTGCTATTTGTGAATCTGATAAGCTGGCTTTGTGTATCTTCATCCAACTCATTTATTTAAAAAAATCAAAGACACAGTTACAAGAACAGAACCCTGTTCCCTATATAGATCAGTTTCTTGTTGCCACGGATCCTTCACCTTCAAATAATGCTGGAATTTTTTATCCAAACACATAGGAATATGCTTAACTGTAGGATAATGTAGCAGTGTTTTTTAAAACAAATCTAATGAAGATTTAAAAGATCGTGCCAAGTAGCCTGCCTTTATTGCAGGTATAGTATTTTCAATTAACAAATTCAGGAAATGAAAAATGTAGTTATACTTTTAAAACTACATTGAGATACCATCTCACACCAGTTAGATGGCGATCATTAAAAAATCTGGAGACAACAGATGCTGGAGAGGGTGTGGAGAAATAGGAACACTTTTACACTGTTGGTGGGAGTGTAAATTAGTTCATCCATTGTGTAAGACAGTGTGGCGATTCCTCAATGACCTAAATTTAGAAATCCCATTTGACCCAGCGATCCCATTACTGTGTATATATCCAAAAGATTATAAATCATTCTACTATAAGGACACATGCACATGAATGTTCATTGCAGCACTGTTTACAATAGCAAAGACCTGGAACCAACCCAAATGCCCATCGATGACAGACTGGACAGGGAAAATGTGGTACATATACACCATGGAATATTATGCAGCCATCAAAAACGATGAGTTCATGTCCTTTGTAGGGACATGGATGAACCTGGAAACCATCATTCTCAGCAAACTGACACAAGAACAGAAAATCAAACACCACATGTTCTTGCTCATAGGCGGGTGTTGAACAATGAGAACACATGGACACAGGGAGGGGAGCACTACACACTGGGGTCCGTTGGGGGGAAATGGGGGAGGGACGGGGGGTGGGGAGGTGGGGAGAGATAGCATGGGGAGAAATGACAGATAAAGCTGAGGGGAAGGAAGGCAGCAAATCACACTGCCATGTGTGTACCTATGCAACAATCTTGCATGTTCTTCACATGTACCCCAAAACCTGAAATGCAATTTAAAAAAAAATATTCTCTATCTTGATCCAACTATTGCACCCACTAGCGATATTCTTAATGTAGGTGAGTCCAGGTAAAGTGAGCCAATTCTGTGCCCATCTGATTGTCTCTATTTCTTTCAGTAACATATGAAGCAATGTCCAGGCAAACATTTGAAATATGCTAGGAGTGCCAAACAGGGTTGTGTGCTCATTCGAGAGCCTCTCTATGAACTTAAAGAGAAGCTGGTCTGATTAGTTGTGTATTTGCTCTGGTGTTACTGAGCTGCTTGGGTGCAGGTGGAAAGCATGTGGCTAGTGGGGCTTAAGTAACTTTCAGCTTTGCAAGGCCAGTGAAGGGAGGAAGGCAGGACTGAGGGGACCAAGTTTATAATCATGGTCCCTGGGGTGTATGCTGGGTTAGACGGGGCAGAAGGGCACCAGAAGAAGGTTGAGAATAGGAAAATGGTTGGGTTGATGCTTTGGTAGGCCCAACAATTCCTTGGGTGGCACTACGGGGTAGAAGGGCTGGAAGGAAAGGCTGTGGTTATCCAGAAGAGAGCCTTTTAAAGATTCCAGATGTGCTGCTGAGGTGGGAGGAAGTGGTGGGTCATTGGAAACAAAGAGCTTGAAGATTTGAGAGGCCAAGATGCTGAATCAATCATCTGTGTGGATACTGAAGTTGTTAAGAATTATGGCAGAAAGGAAGAAAGAGCCCAGTGGATACAATTATCCATGAATAGAAAAAATTGGAGAGGGAGGGATACAAACGGGAGTGATTAGGTCAAGTCTGACAGCGAGAATCTCAGCTGATCCTCTGGAGTGTTAGAAACAAGGGGGTGATCTGATGCCAACAACATGGACAGCAATGTCCTGCAGGTTGCTTGTCCTTCTGCATTGGTATTTGACTATTGTGTTACAGGGTGGAAAGGGCTACAATAAAACAAAATGAAACAAAACAAAAAATACTTTTGTACTTTCTGAAGAGCATTCACTGTTAATTATGCCACAATATGCTTACTGTACCTCCACCGGCAATGGCAGACATGTACAGAACAAAAAAATCAAAATACTCAAGGACTGGTAGCAAATAATAAGTAAAAACCATAATAATAGCTTAGCTGTTTCTTTGACCGTTGAAGAAGGAATTTTACTCCAGGCAGATTAAACATATGAGGTTTTGCCTGTAACCAAAAAAAAAAAAAAAATCCCAAGTTACTGATAGAAGCAGAGTTGTAACTGGACTCGCTTGGCAAAAATAAAATTTTGATAAAATGGAAGTTCTCTGTGAAATTATTGTGGACCATTTCTTATAATGCATCTGAGCAATATCCCCAAGGGTTTTGAGTTTGCTTTTTTCCCACAATGTCTTATGATGATGAATTCAGTTTGATGCCTGATTATATAAAATGAAACTTACAGCAAACACATAAAACATATATATGTGTAAGGTAAAGCTATATTTTATAATCTGCTTTGAATAGGTTTTGCCATTAATTAAGCGGAAATGGAGAAAATTAAATAATTCAAGGTTGAATGTGTTAAATTCAGGAGTAAATGTATACTAGCAAATGTATAAATCCAGGAGTATATGTATAATATATATATATATTTTTTTTGAGGAATTAAGAGTCTTTATTGGGCTCAGACCAGGAGTCCATGGGTCTTGAGGACCTCTGTGTATTTGTCAATTTTCTTCTCCACGTTCTTCTCGGCTTGTTTCCGTAGCCTCATGAGCTGTTTCTTCTTCCGGTAGTGGATCTTGGCTTTCTCCTTCCTCTTCTCCTCCAGGGTGGCTGTCACTGCCTGGTACTTCCAGCCAACCTCGTGAGCTAGGCGGCCCAGATCGGCAAACTTCCTTGTAGGCTTCAGACGCACGACCTTGAGGGCCGCAGGAACCACCATCCGCTTTTTCTTGTCATAGGGCGGTGGGATGCCGTCAAACACCTTGAGGCGGTCCAAGGCGGTCTGGCCTCGCTTGGTCTTGTGGGGCAGCATGCCTGTGGGGTGACAGAGAGCAGGCCTGCTCAGAGGGGCTCCTAAGGACACCCACCCTCCCCACTGAGGCGGGTCCATGGGTGGCCTCAGATGGTAGTGCATGTGGAGTCATCTCATGGTCGGGAAACTCGAACATAGTGGGAGAAGTCCTCATCACCGGCCATGTATAATATATATTCTTTCTTCTGTCACCTATAAAAATGCTAATGTGTTTTCCATCACATATTTAAATTCTAGTCATCCACGAGGCCAACCCAAGCCCCACTTCCTTCATAAAATCATTTTTATTCAATGAAATGTTATTTTTCTCCTATTATGTACCAAGTATTATACCAAGCATTGGGGCAGAAGGGACCGAGTAAGATGGATTAGGGGAGAAATAGTCAAAGCAACGATAAAACGGACTTCTTATTTGCCGAGAATTGCCATAAATGCTTTGACATTTACTAACTCTGATTTCTCACAACATTATAAAGTAAATGCCATTGGTATTTCTCTTTTAGAGATGAGCGAATAGAGATACAGACAGGTTATGTCACTTACTAAAGGTCATAGGGCCAGTAGGTGGTAGAATCTGATTCAAAACCAATTATCCCTGATTCTGAAGCTCTTAACCATCTAAGTCATTCAGCTGCTTTGTGCTTTAATTTCCTCTAAAAAGAACACTCTACATTTGCCCTAATTTATAGTGTTTTATAAGATTCAAATAGAATAAATTTAGAAATATTTAAAAAATTGAATCTGCTGTAGTAAAGCAAAGTAATAATAATGTCTATGAATGGTTTCATGTGGACTAACTCATTCAGTTCTCAAATGACTCCATAGTAGCTCTTCAAATAATCCCCTCATTTGTGATGGGGAAACTGGGATACAGATAGATCATATCACTGCTGAGAATACTAACCCAGGGAATCTGACTCCAAAAGCTGTGTTCTAATTTCTAAACTCAGTGGAGCCTATTTCTGAATTTTGTTCTGTGAGCAGTACATGGGGTCAGGCTGGCTGGGTATCCATGGTAGCAGGGGAAGAACATGCTGAGGTTAGGATGAGCTTCAGTGGGAGTGATATGCCTCCCTTGGCCTCATGGTTAGCTAGGTCCCTGAGGCTGTACCAATGAGCTCTGACCCTGGAGTGGGTACCACCCCACAGCCTTCCAGCAAAATGACTGGGTAGCAGAGCCCTGCCATGAGAGCCCTGGCTGAGTAAGCACCTGACCTTCACAAGGTATCCGTATTGATGAACAGGGTCCCTTTAATCAAAAGCACAACCCACCTTTCCCCTGGGAAATGCCCAGAGTATGTGGTTTCTGCAATTCTTGATGACCTCAGTGTGAACATTTCCTGTGAACACAGCCCACTGCCTCCAGAAAAGTCCTTTCCATATTTGCTTATCTCTTGTTTGTAGAGAGTCTTTCTTTAAATTAAACTTCAAATTGCTTAAATGAAACATTTTGGGACTGGTTCAAGATCTGCCCTCTCTACTACTCCTAATAAATCTGTGTGTGGTTTAGCATCTACATACCTGGTTTCTCGGGTCAAAATCTGATTACTCAAGCTGGGAGTTATATGTGGTGGGAGGGGGTTACCTACTGATGGCAGCAGGCCACCCCGTCCTTTACAGCACACTACATTTCTGTATTGGAGAATCAAATTAGCATTCACAAGTTTAATGTTCTGAATGTGGTAATGAGACTGGTTTAATTTTGCCGATCCACCATTTCTCAAAATTATTTGACATCAGGACTCTTTCTGTGAGAGGAGAGTGTCTGTTAACTCATGCAGAGCTAGTGTTCAAGAGAATACATTTTGGGAAATTTTGGCAAGCAGGTGTATAATTGGAATTCTAACCGAATGCTACAATAATAGACACTGTTCTTCAGGTTGTAATCTTACAGAAAAATAAGATCAATACTTCCTCCAAGTAGATTCCATTTAACTTTATTTTTCAGTTCACACAGGGGCAAAAACCTGGCAGAAAGCATTCTAGGCAAATTCTGAATTATTAAAATATAAAATCTTGGTGGCTCAAGGAAGAAAAACATTCTGTTGATGTGATGTATAATTTTTATATAATTCATTTAATCACTTTTCAGGCTTTGTGAAAATGAGATCTTAGAAATCATCTAGTTCAACTCATTTCACAGCAGAGAAACCCAAGGCCCCAGAAAAATAAAAGATTCTGTGCCTGATCACACGGGTAGTTAGCAAGAGGGAACTAGAATCCAAAAATCCGAATTCCATACTTCCATTCTTTTTTTTTTTTTTTTTTTTTTTTTTTTTTTTTTTTTTTTGAGACGGAGTTTTGCTCTTGTTACCCAGGCTGGAGTGCAATGGCGCGGTCTCGGCTCACCGCAATCTCTGCCGCCTGGGTTCAGGCAATTCTCCTGCCTCAGCCTCCTGAGTAGCTGGGATTACAGGCATGTGCCACCATGCCCAGCTAATGTTTTGTATTTTTAGTAGAGACGGGGTTTCACCATGTTGACCAGGATGGTCTTGATCTCTTGACCTCGTGATCCGCTGGCCTCGGCCTCCCAAAGTGCTGGGATTACAGGCGTGAGCCACTGCGTCCGGCCCCCATATTTCCATTCTTATTCAATGAATAGTTGGATTCCAACTTAAGTAAGAGCATGAAGGATATACTTTATAAATCAAATAGTTGTATATGTGACTTATGCTCAGCATTTCAGTAGGCATAGTGGAAAGTATATATTCACTTTACTCTCTGGGTCTTTTTGAAGTTTGCTATCTCGAGGGTTGCACAAAATATGAAAGCTTCTTTTCAGGTATCATAAAATACCATTAGACTGCTACAAACAAGAAAATTCAGACATTAATGGCAGAAGTACTGTTCCTTTATGAAGCAGACTTTATCTTCCATGAAGATATTTACAAAGGCCACTAAAGATATTTAAAAGCCCACTTAGTCTCTGTTTCATATAAATATGAAAAATATTCTATATAAAATTTATCTGAGGAGGAGATTCACAGGTTTGATACATCGAGTGAGAGAATTTCCATCTGCTAATGGAGTTGTTAGTAGTTCCAACAAAAATACTGACATACAGCATAAAAATTTATTGCCCCAAAACATGTCCTGTAAGACCTGAAATAAAACTTTATATCACATTTTATTACCCAACTCTTTTACTTTCTTCCTTTACTTTGATAGAAGTGAAAAGAACATTAAAATATCTTTTGTATTAAACACCAAATATATTAAATAATTATATTCTTAGATCATTCATGTCACTAAAAATTCTTTTCATACCAGTATTCTAGGAGGTAGAGCAAAGGAAGCCAGTACATAATTGGAAACCACCAGCATTTAACCAGGGTGGCATTGAGCACATTTCCAAATATCAGTTGGTCGTTTTCATTGTGAAAAGAGAAATAATATCTAAGCCATCAATTTCTTCATAAAGACAACTTGGAAGGAATTCATAGGTAAATTAACATCAAAAAATGGCTTTCTTTAAACTCAAAAAATCAGAACACATTTTATATGTGCAGTATAGTGAAAATAATTTTAAATAGGAATTTTCTAAAGTGAAATAACTTTCATAGATATTTGAGAACTGTTCTGTATTGATTTAAGATTTTGTGATTAATTTTTAGATAATTCTTCTGCATATCAATGTGATATTTTTACTGGAAAATATTTCTCAAGAATTTTTAGAATTAAATTAGTCCCCCCAATTAACTAAGAACCTTTAGAAAAATTAAATTTGTCGGCCGGGCGCGGTGGCTCAAACCTGTAATCCCAGCACTTTGGGAGGCTGAGGCGGGTGGATCACGAGGTCGAGAGATCGAGACCATCCTGGTCAACATGGTGAAACCCCGTCTCTACTAAAAACGCAAAACATTAGCTGGGCATGGTGGCGCATGCCTGTAATACCAGCTATCTGGGAGGCTGAGGCAGGAGAATTGCCTGATCCCAGGAGGCGGAGGTTGCGGTGAGCCGAGACCGCGCCATTGCACTCCAGCCTGGGTAACGAGAGTGAAAAACTCCGTCTCAAAAAAAAAAAAAAAAAAAAAAATTAAATTTGTCTGTTTGTAGAAACAGTATACGAAATATCACAGGATAGATCATGTGGAATACTCTAGAATGCGGAAAAGGTACTGAACCCAAGTTTGAGGTTTGAGAAGGACAAAGAATGAGCAGGAATAACACAGGTGAAGACGGGGAGGGGAAGAGCATTCTAGCAGTAGGAGTCACATGAGCGAGGGCCTAGGTGTGCATCCCATAATGCTTGGTCTGGCTGGGCTTGGATCTGAGTCGTAGTAGTAGGAGTCAAACCTGGGAGGTGGGTAGCGGTGGGTCCTGAAGAGTCATACATGTCCCTTGAGGAATTTGAACTTTATGCTGAGGTCAAAAAGAAATCCATCAAGGGTTTAAGCAGAGAATAATGCAATCAAATTGTTGTTTCAGAAAGTGGACTGGCAGCAATGAGGGGAATAAATTCGGAGGGGTCTGGGATGGCAGAAGGTGCTATGGTTTGGATATAGTTTGTTCCTCCTTAAGAACTGTGTTAAAATTTGGTCTGAAATGTGGTATTGAGATGTGGTGGGACCTCTAAAACCCCTTTGGGTCACAGGGGCTCTGCCTTTATGAAGGGATTAATGCTGTTCCCACAGGAGTGAGTTAGATCTCATGGGAGGGATTTAGTTACCATGACAGTGGGTTGTTACAAAAGTGAGTTTGAATTTGGCTTCCTTGGCTTCCTCTTCCACCACAGATACCTCCTGCCATGTTATAAAGCAGCATGAGGCCCTCACCAGATGTTGGCTCCATGCTTTTGGATTTCTAGCCTCCAGAAAATAAAATAAGCCTCTTTCCTATATAAAGTACCCCATGTGTGGTGTTCTGTTATAGCAACGGAAAATGAACTAAGGTAGCAGGTAAGTCAGTGAAGGGGCAGTTGCGATGGTCCTGGAAACAAAGGACAGTGTCTTGAACCAAATCGCACTGCCACATCAGTGAGGCCCATGATCTTGTAATCAAGTGACAATCAAACATAGGAGACACAGTGACAGTGCGCGCTCTCTCTGCCATGTTAGGATACAACAAGATGTCTTTCTGCAAACCAAGAAGAG